CGTTTCCTGGTGACCCTGTGTTGTGCATCTCAAACACGGTTTTCCTGGGAATCATTTAGACAGGTCTGCTCCTCCTCTGAGCTTCCACATGATACTCCCTGCCCAGTTCTACAGCATTCGCACAGATATACATCAAGCTCCTGCCCTGTACTCTCATCCTCCAGGTGCTGGTCAGATCTTCCCAGATACTCACTTGGAATGTTGGGAGCCCCTGACCTGCTCCAGGCTTTGAGACATCTGACCTGGGGGAGCTGCCTGGGGCACAGGAAACCCGAGCTTACCACTGACTTGATTTTTTGCCTAGCCTATAGGGCTTTTCCTATGGTGATGACATTTCTCAGGATAAAACGCACCCTACTTTGTTCTGGTGCAGCTGATGTTTGGGTAATGCCTTCCAAGAAAGACTGAGGAGAAAGTACTGAGAGAGGGTGGGTGGGGTGAGGGAGATCACTTTGACTCAGAAAGCAAACAACATAGGGAGAAGGCTGAAGTTTATTTTTTCTGGTCTAATCATGTCTCACATTCCCCATCTGGGAGCAAGTTATAGGAGAGGGTGAAGAACGTGTTCTCCGGTCTTCAGGTTGACAGGCCCAGTCTATCTCCACGACAGCGCATGGCTGGATGGTTTGCCAACTGTGTGTGTGTGTGTGCTTTTGTGTGTGTGTGTGTATGTGGGTGCTTGTGAGATCAAATTCCTTTGGTCTGATGGCGAGTGAATTCCTCCCTGTGTCTGGGAGTATGTGATCATTAGTTAGTTTTCCCTGCATCCTACAAATCTTCTTACTAGTTTTAGCAGAGAGCTTGGAGAGGCAGTGTTATGTCCTTTTAATCCAAAGCCATCTGAAACTGCAGGAATTTGCCATTTTTTTTAAAGTTCTTAGATCAGCAGGAACAGGGACAATATTCTTAACACAGACTTGAAGATGAGAATAAAAATGAGCACTCTACAATCTAAAAATGTCCATTGTGTAGAAAACAATGAAAATATATCATTATTTTCTGCAAAACACCACTTTTGGAAATGGACACAGAGTCATGGCATTTGAAGGTTG